TATCCAGCTGTGCTAACTTAGGGGGAAGGTGCGGGGGAACCCATATTTCTTGCTTGGGTAGCACTGTGACCTGTTCCCTGTCCCTTTTCTCTCCCCCTAGATGCTGGCAGGGATACCGTGGTAGAGATTCTAAAGTCCACACGAGCACGCGCTTGTCTACTTCGTTTTCCCTGTTTGTTTATGCTTGCATGGATTTGTCTGTGCCGGCTTGTATCTCTGTATGTGTTCGGCTGAGTTTTATACATGAAGGAATGTGTGTATTTGGATTCATGTGCTGATGTGTTATTCTGTGTGAGTCTGGGTGTGCTTATGTGTACATTCTTTCACGTATGGGGGTTTCTATGTATTTATACAGTTGCATTTGTGAAGGTGTGTTTGCACTTGTGAGGTGGAGGTTAGTGGTGGTGGTGTATGTTCAAAACTGAGAGGCTGGCCAAACAGAGGGAATTTTTCAATTAAGCAAAATTTGTCCTAAAGCTGCCTTTGTAACATGGTGAGCTGTATCCTAACTTAACACGTAAATAAACCGTGTGAGTCTGGGCATACCGGTTGTGTCTGTGCTTGTGTGTTGGCACGTCTCCTAGCCATGACTTGTAAAGCCTGCAGACGCTTAGTATGTATGGCCAGCGTCCCCCTTCTTCACCCTCCATTCTGTGATAGCCGCAGGTGGAGGTGATGGGACAAACAGAAGGAAGAAGCAAGAGATGCAGCACTTGCAAGACTGATAGGAAGAAGAATCAGGTGGCGAGAGATAAAGAGACTGAGACTTCGCAGGTGGAGTGCTCAGGTCCTCTTGATCTCTGATGGCCTGACTAGTGCTGGACAGTTCCCTCCCTGTCTCTATGTCTTCAGAGTGCAGGAAATTTCTCGCTTCCTCTCTCCAAATCCATACCTCTGTTTTCCCCTTCAGACTCTGAGCTCCAGGAATGCAGAGTGGGTCCAATTTTATTGAAGCCCCCTGGCTCTCATCTGTCTCTGACACCACTGTGAGCCTGCACCCACCCAGCCTCTGGCAGGGTCAGTCCATAGTTGCTGAATATGGCAATGAATATGTCCATGTCTGCCTGTCTCAGCTCGGGCATGACTTTCCACCTTGGTGCAGCAACTTTCTTGCAATGTTGAGCAAACCCCTTGCTGGACCCTGGACCCTGGACCCTGACCCTGGCAGTTACTTTGACCCAGGAAGAGGGGGCAGATAATCCTGATTTTTTTCAAGGGGTAGAGCCTGTACTTTCATGTCCTTGGAAAGATGTCAGCATAGATTTTCCTGAACCTGGGACCTGGCTCGTGCTGTGCTGTGTGATCTGGCACAAAGTTTCGGTCCTCATCCTAGCACTCTGGGAGGCCGAGGCGGGTGGATCGTTTGAGCACAGGAGTTCGAGACCAGCCTGAGCAAGAGCGAGACCTCATCTCTACTAAAAATAGGAAGAAGTTAGCTGGACAACTAAAAATATATAGAAAAAATTAGCCAGGCCTGGCGGTGCATGCCTGTAGTCCCAACTACTCGAGAGGCTGAGGCAGAAGGATTGCTTGAGCCCAGGAGTTTGAGGTTGCTGTGAGCAACAACTACATAATCATAAAAAAAAAAAAATTACATAATCACCTCCACCTTGCTCTTCCCCACAGGCAGAGAGCTAGAATAGGAGGTATCTGGGCAAACAGCTTAATCTTCATAACCACCTGTGAAGAGCATCTGAGAGGGGACGTCTGGCCCCATCCTTCCAGAGCTTTCCAGGTAGGAAGTCAGAGGCTGAGGAATGCCTTCCTTCTGTTAACCCAACAGTGGGTGAAACAGAAGCAGGGCAACCTTGTACATGAATGTTCATAGCACCCTTGTTTACAATAACCAACAGGTGAAAGAAGCCAAGTGTCCGCCAACAGGTGAATGAATACACAGAATGGATCTATCCATCCTTTGGAATATTATCCAGCCATAAAGAGGAGTGAAGTACTAACACCTGCTACAATGTGGATGAACCTTGAACACACTGTGCTAAGTGAAAGAAGCCAGAAAGGGAGGTCACATGATTATATTTATATTTCCTATATTTAATTCATAGGAGACTTCCACAATAGGTAAATTTATAGAGACAGAAGGATAGTGGTGGTTTCCAGGGTCCAGAGGGAGGGGGGACAAATGGTTACAGGGTTTCCTTCTGGGGTGATGATAATGTTTCAGAACTAGACAGTGGATATGGTTGCCCACCATTGCAAATGTCTGCCTGCTCTGCCTTACTTTTTTTTTGCACACTTTAATATAGTTAATCATGAACTTTATGTTATGTGAAGTTTGCCTACAAACAAACAAAGAAGCAAACAAACAAAGAGCACAGGTAGCCATTTTGCCCAAAATTAGATAAGTTTATTTTGATCCCAGTGGTTTAGGAGGTCTAAGATCAGAGAGGTCACAAAGATATTTTGGAGTCACACAACACAGAGGTTGAGGGCTGGACTGGCCTTTTCAACTCAAAAAAAGGAGGAAGAATGGAGGTGGAGGGTGTGTATGGGGACAAGGGAATGAGGAAGAATACCTGGTTCCACTGCTGCTGTCATGTGTAACCCTGGATATAAATATTTTCCTCATTTGGGCCTCAGTTTCCCTTATTGCTATGGGTGGTGGTTAAACTAAGTTATTGAAGATATTTATATTCCCTGAAACTCTAAGTTTTTATTCTCAGTCAACTGTGAAGGCCATCTCAGGATGAATGGAGACTACAGCAGGGTGGATGGAGGAGAGACCAGAGAAAGGACTTCGCACAGAGGAAAGTCAGCAGGGAGCAGCTCAGACGGGCTCTGCAGATTCATTCTGTGCAGAGGCTGGGGCTGAATGGAAGGAGCCTGAGGGGGTCTGCATCCTTCTCCCCCTCTCCACAAGGGCAGGAAGCAGAGCTGGAACACGGAGGGAAGGGTGGGGAGTGGTATTCTCCAATCGTTCACCTGGGGCATGAGGTTAACGTCTTCTGGGGCCTTGGAACAGCCCAAGGAGAAGTTTGCAGCCTCGAGGTCAAGAAGCGGAATAGCTCAGAGCAGGCCAGGCTCTCACACAGACACAGGCATTTTCCTGGGGCATAGGAAGGGGGGGTTCACTGGGGGTAGCCCTCAAGAACACCCAGTTACCCACCCCCACACTTCCAGGACATTTGCATGCTCATTTGGATACATTTGCATGTCAGGGCCCTCTGTTCACATTCTTATCCTTAATACAAACAACACAAGTCTGGGTATGTCCCTCTCTGTCCCATCTCCTCTCAGCCTTTCCTGTCCTGTCTCCTCTGTCTCCCTTTGTCCCTTGTCTTTGCCTCTCTTGCATTCTTTATCTTTTTCTGTATGTCCCTGGTTAACTATATTGTCAATGAATCCAATTAATGAGAAAATGTGAGAACGTTGGGAGAATCCCTGCTCGTGTTCACTGGGTGTGAGAAGCAGTGGGAGAGAGGCAGGGGGAGCCGAGACCTCTGCGGCCTCCCTCCTAGACCAATACATAGCAGGAAAGCACCGGGCACCTGCCCTGGCTGTTAGGCTATTGAACTGCTTCTGGAGCAGTGGATATATGGCTACTGCTCTAAGCTCCTCACTGCCCCCACCGGTCCGGCCACCTCGGCCCCTCCACAGTGCCTGCGCCTGTTCTCACCATCAGCAGCTAGCCCAGCAAGCCTCCCAGATCCTGTTCCAGCACCATGGACAGAAACAGTCGTGCTTGTTTGATGGCCCCATCATCGCGTTTGTTAAACATTTTGGATGGGGCAGAGGCAAGATGGCAGATGAGAAACAGCTCCAGCCAGAGTGTCTCTGCAAGAAGGAGAAATTTTAGATGAAAGAGAAAAAAAAAACAAACGGACAAACATAGATTGGATGAGGATCGGAAGGAAGGGTGCCTGAACCCACAGGAGACTCCACAGGAAGAGGTTGCAGAGCAGAACTGGAAGGAGGAAGGCATTGGCAGGGATTAAGCCCTGAGAGGCTTGGACACCAGTGAGAAGGGTAGGTGGAGCTATTAAAATTCCCCTCCCTTGCATCTTGGACTGATGGCGGGCCCCCAAGTTGCTGCAGAGACAACACCAGCCCAGAGAATGCTGCCACCGTTGAGCGGTGAGCCTCTTATGGACAGGGCACCAAGCTTGCAGCTCCCTCGGGCGCCTCCCACCCCACAGACCTGAGCCGGTCGGCAGGCACCAAATTGCTTCCCTACCCACTGGGTGCCTTTGTCCTCCCTTGGGGGCCTCCAACTCCTCACCATCCATCTTGCTTGTCCCCACATAGACATTTCTCAACTCTGGTCTAGGCTGCAGGATCCACAGGGATCCAGTGGGTCCCAGGATATCCGCAGGACTCCAGAGCCTGGTCATTCTGGGAGGATTGCCTCCCAGAGGGAGATTCAGAGATTACCAGTGTGTAGTCCTTCCCCCACCTAGCCCTTCATTCTCCCCTTCCCTTCCCCTGCCTGCGGCTGCCAAGAAAGACAATTTAGCCACCACCCAGAGGCATCCATGGGAAATGGGGCTCAGATCTTTCCTTTTGGGGCCCTGCAATGGACTGAGGGGTGCCCAGACTATGAGCTCCCTACCTCCCAGCCCTTCTTGGTGCTACTTGCCCAGTTACTCCAGCAGAGCAGGGCAAAGGCCAAGGCAGAGGGATGCTGACCCAGCTTGGGCACCCCATGGGCAACTTGGGACCAGCATTCTTCTCCCTGGCATGGTTAGGGATTGATCTCCGGGGCCTGCAGGCCAGATCCTATACACGCAGGTCTCAATCGCATTGCCCAGGGCCACAGAAGGGATATTTGTGAAGTAGTCTACTGAGGTGTGTGTGCCTTCAGGGGCAGATCAGAGTGGGTCCTAGCTGCAGCACGCTCCTGGGGCACCCCTCTTCCCGTGGGCACCCCTCTTCCCCTCTTCCCGTGGGAGGGCCGTGATCCCAGCTCAGGCCCTGATCCTGGGCAGGGAACCTCCCAGCCCCCATCACAGTCATGGGGGAGCTCAGCTGGCCTGAGGTCCTGTCTGTCAGCAGAGGCCTGAAAAAACTGTGGAATACAGGAGGGTGGAAGGGAGTGAAGCCTGCTCCAGACTGTCAGACTGCAGGTCTCAAACAGCCCTACCTCCACACGCGGTTTTTTGGCTGAGTGGGGCTATTTCAGCCCCTCCCTGGAAGCTTTGCCCGGAAGCAGAGAACAGACCTTTGACCCCTGCCAACAGCATTTGTGGAGTTTGAGGGCAGGCTCCCCCAACCCAGCCCTGCCCAGCCTCACTCCGCCACCTGCCCCTGCTGAGGTCGAGAATAAGGACATACCTGGAAGTCCCAGAGCCCCACCCACCCGCTGAGGCACTACTGTGCTTTACCGGAGGAACTAGAGCTGGTTACAGGACCAAAATGACACTACGGCTTGCTCCTACCGGCATGCGCCACCTACTGACAGGGAGGTCAATCTGCACACCCTTTTACTGCACTTACTCATCATACAGGGTGTAGTCTAATCTCACCCACAAGCATTACCTACTGGCTCAGAGACTAAAGTGGGCATGTCATTATCTAAACGAAAATCCAAAGGTAAGAAGCAACAGCTGCTCCAGATGGGAAGGAATCAGTGGAAGAACACCAGAAGTATGAAGAACCAAACGGAAGGGCACCCCTAAAAGGGAACACCAGCTCTCTAGCAATGGGTACCAACCAAATGCAGAACACTAAAATGACAGAAGAAGAATTTTTGACGTGGCTTGTAAGAAAACACAATGATATGCAAGAGAAAATGGATGCCCAACACAAGTGGGTGTCTTTGGTGACCATGTGGGGCACACCAAGGGGAAAAATATCCATGAATCTCTGAATCTCATGGATGACAGCGTCGGTGTATGGCATTTTGACCCCGTCATTGAGGTCTGGGTGGCGATGTGTGCCAATCACCTGTTCAGTGTCCTTATGGACTCTCTCTACACAGTAAAGGGGACAAGTGAACCCCATTTCAAAGAGATATTTCCACAAGACACTGCTTTCTATGAGCCAGTGAGCCAGGAAAAAACTGTACTAAAAGGTTAGACCATTGGTACACCTCAACGCAGTCAGCTTGGTGTGAGGCAAGGTGGGAGGAAGGAGCAAGAACTGTTACCCTTCCAAATCTAATGAATGTTGTAGATTCTCTCCCCACATGGACAGGTACACACACACACACACATACACACCCCACAATTTTTCATGGGAATTCAGATTCAGAACTCCAGGCTACAATCATGTCAAAATTCTCTGAGTATAAAATGAATTAATAAATATTTATTGTGTATATTGTAGGTGAATCATTGTGCTAGGTCCCCAGGAATATGAGTGAATAAATAAGTAGATTAATCCATGAACAATTGGATAAAGAAATGAACACATAAATCTGTCAGTCAATGGATAGATCAATTCATAAATGGAAAGATTCATGAATGAGTGAACAAACCAATAAATGTATGTATATGTTCTTTATCAATCAATAGATCAATCAGTCAAATCAATACATGTTTGGATTGTTCTTGGACACTACACACCTCGCATCTCCCTCTTTCCTGTGCTCTCTCTGTTTCTCTCCTACCCATCTCTGTTCCCCTCTAGTCCCCTGTGTGTCTCTCTGTATCCAGCCCTCTGTCTGATGGTCTCTCGGGCTCGGGCTCTGTCTCTGCCCACAGATACCTTTCTATTTTTCTATTGCTGGTCGCTCACATCTCTCTCTGTTTCACCGTCCTTCCTGCCACCTCCAGGAATCGCCCTTGGATTTCCGCAGCTCCTCCACCAGACACTGAGCCTCCTCCTGAATTCGCTCCTCCACGCTCCGCTTTCCCATCCCAAAGTCCCTCATGGTGGCCACAGAGAATCGCCGGAGGGTCTTCCAGTGGTCCCCATTGGCAAAGACCACGCCTGCGGTGTGGGGAGGTGTGCGTTGCAGAGGACATTAGAGAGAGGCTCTGGGTCCTTTTTCACCCATTTTCCCCCTTCCCTGATGCATCCTCCACCCGGCCCTCCCAGTGCCTTGGAGGCTCTCACCATATCCCTGGAAGACTGTCTCAAGGATGGCGATTTTGCCCCGGCCAGAGAAGTCCTCAGCCTGGTCCACCAGGGCCTCCTTTATGGCCTCTATCCCACACAGCATGACCATGGGCCTCCGTCCCAGGTATACCGTGAAGACATCCCCATATTTCTCTCGGAGCTGCAAAGCATACCCACACCCTGGGCTATAAGAGTCAGCACATACCTCAGTGGTCAAACTATTAAACACTCACACACCAGACTGGTAATTAGCCGCTTTCCCCAAGACCCTCCTCCCCAGGCTGCCCTGTCACCTTCCCAGGACCCAGCAACCAGAGGCTTAACCCCATGGCCCAACCAAGGTCTGCTCTGATTGGTTGGTGGTGCTTAAATACTTCTAATGTCACCACCGCCCATACCCGTGAGTATCTTTGTGGCATCTCAACCAAAGAATCATACTCCTTGTGATCAGCAGTTTTGCTTTCCACAGCTAAAAAATGTAACAAAATTTTTAAAAGTCTTCATCAAATGAAGACTACGTAAGAGACCACTCATCAGCAGGTGTTTTGTGTCAAAAATTATCGTTTAATTTTACTGAAATAATTCCAAAAGAAAACAGCACTTTAATACACAAGACTTGTTAATTTGACTAGAGATTGTATAGTATTAGTATGAAATTATAACTAAAGCTAGAAAGTTGATTTTATATTTTTTATCATATTGATTTCTTTATTTTTTAGACATGGATCTAGCTCTGTGGCTCAGGCTGGAATGCAGTGGCCCATTCATCACACACTGTCGCTTTTAAATCCAAGGCTCAAGTAATCCGGCCATCTCAGCTTTTGGAGTAGCTGGGATTACAGGCATGAACCGCCATGCCCAGCTCTACAAAGTTCATATGACATTCCAAATGTTGAGAATTGTTAGAGACTATTGGTCACCTTTGTCCTTCTACCACCGACCAACTGAATTCCACCATGCTAAAGACCACCATGTTAGTGGCACCCACCTCTGAACAAAAGCCCACACAACCATACTCCAGACCCCACTGCTGCCTGGGAGAGCAGCCCCAGGCTTCCTGGGCCACAAATGCAGCCTCCAGAGAGTATTCAGAGGCAGATATTAGGGGGAGGGGTACATAATAATTAAGAGACATAAGAAGTAATTCCAGGAACAGGGAACAGCCAGTGCAAAGGCCCTGTGGAAGGAATGTGCCTGAAGTTTGGAGAGCAGCCAGGGGGCCAGTGTGGCCTGTGCAGGATGAATGAGTCTACCAATGTGGGGGACAAGGACAGAGAGGTGATAGAGGTGGAACCCATGGAGGGATTTTGAGCAGAAAAGGCACTTGATCTGATTTATGTTTAAAAGGCTTCTCTAGCTGTACTCCTGTCTGGGCCTGGCAGCCGTGGGCAGAGGAGGGGCCCCAGAGGTCATCTTCTCCACCCTCTGTCACCCCCCAGAGCCCACAGGAGCAGGGTGCCAGGCCTGGATTCCCAACCATGCTCTTGGCTCTGAGTTGCAGAATGTAGGCATTGCCTGCTTTCACCTCGCTCTTGCCTAACTCTCAGTCCTTGAGTCAGGCCCGTTATGCAAAGGGAGCTAGCACGGTGGGGGACTCAGAGAACCCTGTTTTGTAACATCAGCCTAGGGGATTGCTCTCTGCCGCCCCCTGTGGAGTGGTGAGTTTATAGCAAGGATGATCCTTCCAATCTGGATCTGGTTTTGGACTGGTTGATGCTTCCTGGCCTGGCTTAGTTACTAATAGCATCTTTTTTTTTTTTTTTT